GGTCTTCTTCTTTTTTGCTGACCCTCTACTTTACCAAGCATGATGTCCTTTTCCAGGGACTGGTCTCTGATAACATGTCCAAAGATGAAGTCTCGCCATCCTTGCTTCTAAGGAGCATTCTGCCTGTACTTCTTTCAAGACAGATTTGTTTGTTCTTTTGGCAGTCCATAGTATATTCAATATTCTTCACCAACATCATAATTCAAAGGCATTAATTCTTCTTCAGTCTTCCTTATTCACTTTCCAGCTTTCACGTGCATTTTGCCCATGGAAACCTTCAATATTGCAACTTGAGGCTTGAATTTTTTTCTTCAGTTCTTTCAGCTTGAGAAATATTGAGCATATTCTTCCCTTTCAGTTTTCTAACTCTAAGTCTTTGCACATGTCATTATAATATTTTACTTTGTCTTCTCCAGCCACCCTTTGAAATCTTTTGTTTAATTCTTTTACTTAATCATTTCTTCTGTTCACTTTAGCTACTCAATGCTCAAAAGCAAGTTTCAGAGTCTCTTCTGACATCCATTTTGATCTTTTCTTTTTTTCCTGTCTTTTTAATGACCTTTTGATTTCTTCATGTATGATGTCCTTGATGTCTTCCCACAACTCATCTTGTCCTTGATCATTAGTGTTTGATGTGTGAAATCTATTCTGGAAATGGTCTCTAAATTCAGGTGGGATATACTCAAGGTCGTACCCATTTGGCTCTCGTGGAAGTGTTCTAATTTTCTTCAGCTTCAACTTGAATTTGCTTATGAGCAATTGATGTGTTCCACAGTCAGCCCCTGACCTTGTTCTGACTGACGATATTGAGGTTTTACATTGTCTCTTTCCACAGATGTAGTCGATCTGATTCCTGTGTATTCCATGTGCGAGGTCCAGGTGTATAGTCACCGTTTATGTTGTTGACAAATGGTATTTGCAATGAAGAAGTCATTGGTCTTGCAAAATTCTATCATGTGATCTCCAGCATCGTTTCTATCACCAAGAACATATTTTCCAGTTACTAATACTTCTTTGTTTCCAGCTTTCACACTCCAATCACCAATAATTATCAATGCATCTTGATTTCATGTTTCATCAATTTCAGGCTGCAGAAGTTGGTAAAAATCTTTAATTTCTTCATCTTTGGCCTTAGTGATTGGTGCGTAAATTTGAATAATAATTGTATTAGCTGGTCGTCCTTGCAGGCATATGGATATTGTTCTATCACTGACAGCTTTGTACTTCAGAATAGATCTTGAAATGTTCTTTTTGATGGTGAACGCAACATCATTCCTCTTCAATTTGTCATTCCCGGCACAGTAAATCATATGATTGTCTGATTCAAAATGGCCAATAGCTCATTAATGCCTAGGATATTGATGTTTATGCATTCCATTTCATCTTTGACAATTCTAATTTTCCTAGATACACACTTCATACATTCTATGTTCTTATTATTAATGGATATTGGCACCTGTTTCTTCTCATTTTAAGTCATGCCAATCAGCAAATGAAGGTCTCAAAAGCTTGACTCCATCCACATCATTAAGGTCGACTCTACTTTGAGGAGGTATCTCTTCCTCAGTCGTATTTTAAATGCCTTCCAACCTGAGGGCCTCATCTTCTGGCACTATATGACGCAGTGTTCCACTGCTACTCATAAGGTTTTCTCTGGCTAATTCTTTTCAGAAATAGACCACCAGGTCCTTCTTCCTAGTCTGTCTTAGTCTCTACACACAGTATAGAGGCATTTAAACATAGGTCTAATCTACATGACAACAATAACATAATGATGGATGCTAAATGTAATTACACTTTTGCAAAGTTTTTACATTTTACCTTATATGGTATGATACTAACTCTAAGTACATTGAGATAATTTAGGAATGCATACTGTAAACCCTACATTAACCATTAAATTTTAAAGTAAAGACGTATAGCAGAAACCAGTATGGGAACTTAGATAAAATAGTATAAAATATTGGATTAGCCCAAAAGAAGGCAGAAAAGGAGGAAAAGCGGAACCAAAAAAAAAAAAAAAGACAAAACAAACAGAATACTAATTGCAAATTATAGATCTAAATTCAACCACATTAACAATTACATTAAATGTAAATGGGCTAAAAATTCCAATTAAAAGGCAGAGATTATCAGACTGGATTTAAAAAAGAAAAAGAAAGAAAGAAACAAAACCTGACTATAAGCTGTATACAAGAGATACATAATAGTTTAAATAAAAATTTACAAATAGGTTGAATGGAAAAGGATGGAAAAAGATTTAATCAGGCAAATAGAAAGCGAAAGAAAGCTGGAGTGGCTATATTAGTATCAGACAAAACACACATCAAGCCAGGCTGAAAAAGAGTCAATTCATCAGGAAGACATAAAATCCTAACCAAAGATAAAAATCCTAACTGTGTGCACTTAATAACACAACTTCAAAACACATGATGCAAAAACTCACCAAACTAAAAGAAATAGAAAAATACACAATTACATTTAGAGAGATTATGCATACCATTTTTCAGTAAGTGATAGAACAACTAGACTAAAGAAGCCCTTAAGGATATAGATAATCTGAACAACACTATCAATACTGGACTGAATTGATATTTATAGAGCACTACACTCAACTGCAGGTCCCTGGGTAGTGCAAATGATTTGCACTCAGCTGCTAACCTAAATGTTGGTGCTTCGACCCCACCCAGCAGGGCCATAAGGGAAAGTCCTGGCAATCTGCTTCTGTAAAGATTATAGCCAAGAAAACCCTGAGGAGCAGTTCTACACTATAACACATAGGGTAACCATGAGTCAGAATCAACTGGACGGCAATGGGTTGGCTTTTTTTTTTTTTTACCCCCAACTTCAGAATACACAGTCTCTTTAAGTGCACATGTAATGTTCATTAACATAAATCATCTGTTAGGCCATAAACTACGTCTCAGAAAGTTTCAAAATATTGAAGTCTTAGAGTATGTTCTCTAACCACAACAGAATTAAATTAGAAATTAATAACAATATCTAGAAAAGCCTTTAAATGTTTGGAAATTAAACAGCACACTTTTAAATAAGCTAAGGGTCACAGAATAAATTATTATGGAAATTAAAAATTATTTTGAACCAAATGAAAATGAAAGCATCAAAAATTTTGGAATGCAGCTAAAGCCGTGCATAGAGGGAAACTCATAGCTTTAAATGCTTCTATTTAAAAAGAAGAAAGGTCCAAAATCAGCAGTGTGTTCTACTCTAAGTAGCTAGAGAAAGAAGAGTTTGTCACATCTCAAGTAAGCAGGAATAAGGTGAGAAACAGTTTTAATTCTTCTGGAATTCAGATTTCTGGCTTTCATAGAAGTTGGGGTAACTTACACAGGCCTTGCCCTTAGGTGACCTTTTGAACCTTGGACCTTGAAAAAACTGGTTCCTAAAAGCCACTTTGAGTCAAACAATAATCTAAATAAACTAGTAAGACCACTTTGCTTTGGGCATTGTGCCCTTTTGAAGAATTCAGTCAGTTTTGGGAAAGACTCCAAGGGTCAGACTGGGAGCTATGTTTAGGGTAAATCAGTAATTATTTTAATTGTTCTTCAAGACAACGCTGTATGAAAATCCTTCCTGACCACAAATTGTTTATCAGTTCTCTTCTGGCCCTTTTTTCCATGGCCATGCTGACTACAGGGTCTCTGTGAGTCTGGCTCTGCTCCACCGCAATGGGTTTGGAGCCCTGGTGGGGCTGTGGTTAGGCGTTCAGCTGCTAACCAAAAGGTCAGCAGTTCAAATCCACCAGCTGCTCCTTGGAAACTCTGTCGGGCAGTTCTATTCTGCCTATACGGTCACTATGAGTCAGAATCCATGAGATGGCAAGGGGTTTGGGTGTTTTGTTTGCTTGTTTTGTTGTTGTTGTTGTTGTTGTTGTTTTGGCAGATAATATTTGGTATAAGAATTTGGAAGTTCTTCTAATCTTCGGAACATTTTTGACACTGTGATCAAAATGTTACCCTGATATGGAACTCGTATATTCAACAAACTTCTATCAATTTCTAATATTGGCTCGATATGATTTTAGTTTTAACAAAGGAAATAATAAAGAGCAAAAATCAGTGAACTAGAAAACAGAAAACCAATGGAACCAAAGGCTGGCTTTTTAAAAAGACTTATAAAAATTGATAAGCCTGTAGCCACATTACCAGTTGTGGTTGAGTGGATTCCAACTCATGATGTTTCAGAGTAGAGATATGCTCCATAGAATTTTCAGTGGATGTGATCTCTTGGAAAGTAGATCACCAGGCACCTCTGGGTGGACTCCAGCCACCAACCTTTTGCTAAGTAGAGGAGCGCTTAAACGTTTGAGCCACCCAAGGACTCCTCTAGTTACATTAAAAACAAAACAAAACAAAACCCGTTGCCGTCAAGTCGATTCCGACTCATAGCGATCCTGTAAGACCGAGTAGAACTGCCCCATACAGTTTCTAAGAAGCGCCTGGTGTATTCGAGCTGCTAACATTTTGGTCGTAGCAGAAATAGCTCTTAACCACTAAACCACCAGGGCTTCCCTAGTTTTATATTAGCCAAGCAAAAACAAGAGAAAACCCTACCAGTATCAGCAATGTCTGAACAAAGTCGCTGTTCTCACGGACTTCTAGCGGGGGACTTCTAGTGTGGACAATAAACGTTAGTCAGACAAGTAAATGTGTAGGTATAGATAGTGGTAAACTTTATGAGAGAATTCAGGGAGGGAGGGAGAAGCAGATATAGGCTGCAGAAAAGTACCCCGTCAAGGTAATTTTAACCCCAAACCAGCCCTCCGCAATGAACGACGTCAGCCCCTCCCATTCCGTTCAAGACCCTAGGAGGCAGGTGGCGACCCCGCCCTGAGCGCCGCGCTCCGCCCACTGCCGACCCGGCCCCTTCGCGCAGGCGCGGGGCCCGAATTGGCCCGAGGGGCGAGGCAGGGAGCTCCCAGCGGCGGGGCGGGGCAACCGCCGGGCAGGCGCGTCGTGAGGTGACGTTGACCTCGCCAAGCCGTGTTGTCCCGCGTCTCTCGTCCCTGGTCTCCCGCGATGCTTAGGCCAGACCCGGGCACTTCCCTTGTCTGAGACGGGAGGCACAGAACGGAGACCATGGCGGAGCCCTCGGAGCCCGGGCAGCAGGCGGCAGCGGGCGGCGGGAGTCCGGAGGAGGAGGAGGACGAGGACGAGGAGCGGGAGCCGCTGCTGCCGCGGATCGCCTGGGCCCAGCTGCGAAAAGTCGCCCCGGGGAGCGCCGTGAGGCTGATAGAGCCTGCCGAGGAGGCGGGCGCGGCCTCCCCTCCCAAGGCCCCCGACGGAAAACTGCTACTCCCGCTCGGGAGCGCGACCTGCAGCCCCTCCCGGAACCGAGCGCCCTTCCAGAGCTCGCCCAGCCACCGGTCCGGCTTCGCGTGCTCAGGTGAACCCGGCTCGCCCCGCCTTTCCCCGTCTTGTGTCCCGCGCGCCGTTCACCCATCTTTAACTCCCAGCCCTGCCCCGGCGCAGTCCTCGGACTGTGCACTTGTCCGCCGCTGGCCACACCTTGGGCACCTTGCCTTGCTCCTGCTCCCCCATTTACTTGCGTTTTCCCATTACGATCCAGGAGGTCTGGGGCTGCAGACTACTTTCCTGAAGGCCTGAGACCTATGATTAAATTCTGATCCTTTAGGCCTCTCCCAAAAGTGAGGCTAAACTTTTGGAATCCGACCCTGAGAAACACAACACTCAAATGACATTATAAGTTGTTTGCTCGTGTTGGCACTGAGTTTTGAAGAACCGTCAACTCGCAAGAAAATTTTGAAATTTGCAACGTGGTGGATGACAGGAGAGAGATATATAGCAAGAATAGCCAGTTGCCACTGGGACAGATTTCAAAAACTTTTCCATTCAATGCTGTTATTATGACGTTAGCCAGAGAGGGCGGAGGCAGTTGAGTTCCTGGACCTGTAATCTGTCTTGCAAAGGTTTTCTTCCCCCACCCCACCCCGTTTTTTTAAGAGTCACTTATACTGTTATGGAGCCCTAGTGGCGTAGTGATTAAAGAACTCGGACCCCTAACCAAAAGGTTGACAGTTTGAATCCACCAGCCTCTCCTCGGAAACCCTATGGGGCGGTTCTACTCTGTCCTATAGGGTCTCTGAGTCGGAATCCACTCGACAGCAACGGGTTTGGGTTTTTCTGTTTGTTTGCTATTGTTGTACTTAAATTTTTGACTTTTAAGCAGACTGAGCGTCAGGTGAAAGAGAAAGTAATTAAAACAATGTTGAAAGTTAGTAAAATTTAGGCATGCTATTGTAGGCCTGGGTATTTGTTGACGAAATGGGTTTTGAGGGCGTGTAGAGTTGAGTTAGCTTAATTTGATGGTAAAATAGAGTAGAACGGAAAGAGTCCCAGCTAGAGCTTGTTTATAAAATGATGATGGTAACTTACTTTCCTAGTTGTTAGGAGAGATTAATAAGATAATGTGTGCACTGTGCCACTCAATAGGTGACAGCTTGAAAAGAAGCCATAGAAAATGTAGTTTTCATTAAGACTACTTAATTTTTCTGGAGTTGTTTGATTTTACATGTCTTTCTACAAGTACACTACTTCTGTACATTAAAGAATTTTGAATAGAGTGGATTGCTCAAGTTCTAGCTGAATTTCTAATCATACATATTGTGTTGTTGTGTTAAGTGCTGACAAGTCAATTTCCACTCATAGTGACCCTATAGGACAGAGTAGAACTGCCCCATAGGGTTTTCTAAGCTGTAATCTTTACAAGAGCAGATTGCCAGGTCTTTCTCCAGCAAAACTGCTGGGTGAGTTTCAACCACCAACCTTTCAGTTAGTAGCCAAGTGCTTAACCACTGAGCCACCAGCACTCCATGAGTTGAATAAATTAGAGATGCCAGGGTTAAGCACTGTTTCCGATCCAAGTGTTTCATGAATAAACATCAGCAAACTGGTCCAACATTGAGGTCAGCTGTCGTCATGTTAGCTAATGAATGCACTGACAGTGCAATGTTTAACAAAATAAACAGGCAAGAAGTTGGAACTAGATCACAAATGAAACCAGATCCACCTAGCTACATTGACAATCTGGACATATATTATCTAGAATCAGTCTGTGAACTAAGATACGCGTGGCTAGCTTGCCCTCTTTACCATAGTTATCTTATGTAGCGAGATTTTAAAAGGGCCTAAAACCTTGAAAGTGAGTTTGTTCTGTAAAAGTGAGGTCTTGTAAACAAATAATATTAAGGCTTGAAAAAGTAAAGGTGGGGATAGAGCATAGTAGTTGGAATACAAATGGATTATTAAAGAGAATTCCTATCTTTTATGGTAATATTTATATCACAGTTTACAGTTTGCTAAGGTGTGTTTTTGTTTATTCTCACAGCAGCACAGCAAGATAGTTATATCTCCTCATTCATCTTGTGAGGATTGAAAACTTAAAAAAACTTAAAAAACTTAAAAGACTTTGCCTAGTCTTTCCTTTTCATGCCCTGCACTTTTTCCATTGCTGCAGATCTCCAAGTGTTATGAAAGAGTTGTTAGTTTTGTTTATTTATTATGGAGGTTCTATTTTTAACAAGAGTTTAAAACAGTTTTGAGTTATTCAAACTTTTTAAAATAAAAAATTTCAAGCCAGTCTCCTAAAAAGTTAATGATTAACTAGATTTAAATCTAGCTATTTTTGAATGAGTCTGTTAGCTTCCTTCGTCCCTTACTGTCCAGTTTCCAGGAAACCACCTCTCTAGCTCCAAGAAATTCTTTTCTTTAGAGAAATAGTAACATCATTTATGATGCTTAATTATTTTATGTAACAGAAGCTTTTTGTACTTTAGCCCATGGAAAAATGTCATATGTTTGTAATCTTTATTTTTCAAGGCACTTGACAAAGTCTAGAACAAGCATAAACCAGTGTTCATTGTTGGATCAATGTCAAAGTAGAAGAAATATCATTCCTTGTTCTACTTATCATTTGAATCAGTGAATTGGATAGTAACAAAAATAGTAATAGCTAATATCTACACAGCACTTAGTATGTACTAGGCCTAGTTCTATGCACTTCACTTATATTAATTCATAACCAACCCTGTGAAGCAAGTACTATTTTTAGTCCCATTTTAAGGAAACACAGAGAAGTGAAGTGACTTCTCCAGGGTACCAGTGGATACAAACCAGGAACTCTTAATTCTTTTGGAGAGCCTAACAATTAAGAGAACAGCGTTAGAATTCATAGAGAGCCACTACAGTAAAAGAAAATGTTTATAAGTCATTTAATGACTCCTGGTGACTTATAAATGTACAAACAAATTAAGAAAATTATTTCAAAGGAAGATAGATGAGACAAAAAGAAAAATTGTTGTTGTTAAGAAAACAACCTGTTGCTGTAGAATAGATTGTGACTCATTGTGACCCTGTAGGACAGAGTAGAACTGCCTATATGGTTTCCAAGGAGTGGCTGGTGGGTTTGAATTGCCGACCTTTTGGTTAGCAGCCAAACTCTTAACCACTATGCCACCAGGGTGCCTTGTTGTTAGGTGCCATCAAGTCAGTTCTGACTCATAGCAACCCTGTGTATAACAGAACAAAACATTGCCCGGTCCTTTGCCATCCTCATCATAGTTACTATGTTGGAGCCCATTGTTGCAGCCACTGTGTCATTCCATCTCATGAGGATGGATTGTGAAAGAAGAATGAGGGTAATGAAATAAATAAGATGGAGGCTGGAATAAGAATACATAAAATGCATGCTAGCCACTTGAGGCGGGCAGGCCACAAATTCAATTTTTAGGATTGCTGAGCAGCCAACTTGAGGGAGACACAATCATTGTGTCCATAAAGTTAAAACAAATTGGTTATTTGAACCCAAACAACTGACAAAGGGTAACCTGTCATACATCTCTTGGAGAAGAGACTACGTGGTGAGAAGAATATCTTTGTAATAAAAGTGATGAATTTCATTGGGGTATTTCTTATAACTTCCCCAGAGCCCATTTCAGTAGAAGTAATTCTAGCAGTGATGCTATTAGTATTGCTTGATCTATGTTCAATACACTGATAACTTGGCTTAATTTAGAGGGAGGTATTAGAAGAGCAAATGTTCTATGTGTCTTGACAATCCTCCATAACATCCTTTGAAAGATAGTGAGCAGCGGTGTGTTGGAGATTATTCCTCAGCCAGTTCCTGGAATACAGCTTATTCTTTGTTTTCCATTTATTTGAGACACCCATCACTCATCAGATATTTGAGTGCCTACTGGGTGCCAGCGGAAATTGAGGCACCAGGGAAACAGTGGTGACTAGATATCAAGTGGATGCCCAGTCACCAGCCCTGTCCCCAAATAGAGGAAACAGTTAAAACAAACTCTTCTAACAGGCTGTTTACGTGTTTGAATGGGGAAAGCTGAGGGTTCCATGGAGGCAAGGAGCTATGCTCTAGAAGTAAGGGCCTTTCTAGATTGTGATGGTAAATCCAGGCTTCTGCAAAAGGAGCAGAGTAAGTGGCATCCAGTTGGAGACCTGAACGATGAATATGCACTCAGACCCGTAAAGCAGGGTTCAGTTCAACAAACTTGTGAGCACCTACTTTTTTTCTAGACAATATTCTGATTGCTGGGTGAATAGAGATGGGTAAGATGTAGTTCCAATTCTTAGGTGAGGGAGAGATCATTTTATTTACTTAAAACAAAAACTTGCTACATTACCATGCATGCTTAAATACAACTAAGTACAGAGGTTATACAGTGGGTTCTTTTAATCTATTTTCAGTTTCTATTTTCTAAGGAACCAATAATAACCCTTAATAAGCATGGTTAAGGGGATAGTTAGTTAATTCGTAGAAGAAATTTATTGGGAGCCTACCAGGTGCCAGGAGCCCTGGTAGTATAGTGGTTAAGACCTGGGCTGCTAACCAAAAGTTTAGCAGTTAGAATTTCCCAGCTGCTCCTTGGAAACCCTGTAGGGCAGTTCTACTCTGTTGTATAGATAGGGTCGCTGCTTCTCGGAATCAACTCCACGGTAATGTGTTTATTTTTGTTTTGTTTACCAGGAGCCAGGCACTGTTCTCGGTACTTGAGATACATCAGAGAACAAAACAAAGATCTCTGCCCTCCTGGAACTTAGATTGTTTTATTATAGTATGTAAATTAATCAGATGGAGCTGAAGGATGAATAAGAATTAGCCATGAGAAGGAAGATTGGCATACACATGGGAATATCATGGGCAAAGTTTCAGAGGGTGGGTTGGAAATCTTATGAAAAGTGAGGAGTTTGACTAGGACTGGAGCTTGACTGGAAGGTCACTCACCTCAGTGGTGACCCAAAGGGAGTCCAGAGAGGCAGAATCGAGATTCTTCTCAGGTAATAATTGTGAATATTCTCTGACAAGAGACAAATCAAGACCACATAGTTTATTCCTTAAAAGGGGCTAGAATATCAATTGTATAGGCATGCCTAAAATATTTGGATAATTCTTTTAAATGGGTTAAATATACCTAATAGCCTTATTTGGTGTTTTTTCAGCATAACCTCTTAAAAATTAATAAACAGTTTTATTTTCTGTCTCAATTTAGATAAATTTTAAGTTAAGGAAAGTTTATTATGTTCTGAGTTTTCATAGTAGTGAGAGCACATCCCGTTACCCGTTGCCGTTGAGTTGATCCTGACTCATAACAACTCTATAGGACAGGGTAGAACTGCCCCATAGGGTTTCCAAGAAACGGCTGGTGGATTCAGACTGCTAACCTTTTGGTTAGCAGTCGAGCTCTTAACCACTGCACCACCAGGGCTTCTTGAAAGCACGTATAAGCATTGAAACACCTTCCAAAGTAAAATATGAGTGATTTTTGGGCTCATCTATTACTTTAAATGATTAATTGTTAATTCATTCAGCAGGTGTTTATTAAGTGCCTGCTATGTTCCAGAAGGTGTCCTTGGGTGGTACAAACAGTTCAGTGCTTAGCTGCTAACCGAGGGGTTGGTGGTTTGAGTCAATCCAGAGGCACCTTGGAAGGAAAGCCTGGCAATTTACTTCTGAAATATCAGTCATTGAAAATCCTGTGGAGCATGGTTTACTCTGACACAGGTGGGGTCACCATGAGTTGGAATGGACTCGACAGCAACTGGTTTATGTTCAGGAACTATGTAAGTTCTGAGGATACAGCAATGAAAGAAATCCTCATCTTCTTGGAGCTCATAACTTAAGTAAATATATAGTAAGTGATAAGTGCTAAGCAGAAAAGTCCCTTGGTGGCGAAAACAGTTGCACACTTGGCTACTCACTGAAGGGTTGGCAGTTCAAACCCACCCACAGGTGCCACAGAAGAAATACCTGGCGATCTGTTGCCAAAAAGTCACAGTCATAAAAACCCTATGGAGTGCAGTTCTACTCTGAAACACATGGGGTCACCATGAGTCAGAATTGATTGGATGGCAACTGGTTAGGGGAGATTGGGTATAGGACCTTGGGGGCTATAATAAGGACTTGGACTTTTTGAGAAGTCTGTGGTCTGTTTTGTACAAAGGAGTGACACAATCTGACTTATGTTTTAAAAGGATTCCTAAAGCTCTTCAGTTGAGGATAGAGGGAATGGGCAAAAGAGGAAAACCTGTTAGAAGGCTATCGTAATAATCCTGGCAGAGTTGATAGTGACTTAAATCAGGTGGAAAGAGTGGGGACAGTAAGATGTGGTTGGATTCTGAGTATTTATTTAAGGTAGAGCCAACAAAATTGCTGGTGAATTGGATGGTGTGGTATGAGAGGGAGAGTGAGAGATATCTTGATGGATTGGATATAGGAAGTGAGAGTGTGAGATCATGGATGATTCCACGGTTTTTGGTCTGATCAAATGGAGGATTAGAAGTTGCCAGTAACTGAAGTACAGAAGAGGGATGAAGCAATCAGGTGCGGTAGTAAAGATCAGGAGTTCAGTTTTGCATATGCAAAGTTTAAGATGTCTATTGAAATTCCAAGTAGAGATGTTGAGTACAGTACTCTGGGATTTAGGGCAGAAGTCTATGCTTGAAATATAAATTTGGAAGTTACCAGTGTTGATAAAGAAGAGAACCTGGGACGTTCGAAAGTTAAGTGGTCAGACAGATGAAAAGGAGCAGCAAAGAGACTGAAAAAGAGGGGTCAGTGAAGTAAGAGGAAAGCCTGGAGAAGTGGCATCCTGGAAGCCAAGTGAAGAAGGTGTTTGAAGGAGGAGAGAATAACCGACAGGGCAACGGTGGTGTTGATGAAGGAAGATAAGTTCTGAGGTTGGATTTAGTAATGTGGCAGTCACTATTTACCTTGACAAAAGTTATTTAGTGGGGTGGTCAGAACAGAAGCCAGATTGGAATGGGTTTAAGAGAGAATGGGAGTAGAAAAATTGGAGAATGGTGAATATAAACGACACTTTAGAGACCTTCTGCTGTCAAGGGGAGCAGAGAAATGGGGCAGTAGCTAGGGGAATTGTGAGGGTCAAGAGAGGTTTGTTTTAAGGTGAGAAACATTGCAGCATGTTTGTGTAGTGATGGAAGTGATCCGATTGAAAGGTAAATATTGATTTAGGGCAGAATTGCTGAACAAATGCCCTGGAGTAGTCAAAGGATAAGGTCTAGTATACAGGTGGAGTTAATCTTGAACCTTGGACAGTTCATGTATAGTAATATGCAGAAGGCAGAGTATACAGGTATAGTTACTGGTGGGCAGGTAGATGTGGTACTGTGGGCTTTTGAAAGTTCTTTTTTGATTGCTTAGTGAAATAGGGAGCTAGAGCATCTGCTGAGAGAGCGAATGGGAGAGAAGGTGTTGGGAATTTGAGAGGAAGGAATATGAGATAGTTGTCCAAAAGAGTGAGAGAGTCTATGGTCCAGGTGATTCCCAGACAACGTGAAGGGTCCACCTGAGGTTTGTGGTGATGAATTTAAAGGGAGATCAGGTTTTAGTGGTCATATCTGTTCCTCTAGCCAAGTTCAGCTGCGTGGGTACAGGCAGAGATGGCAGACATTTGGATTTAACCAGGATTGGGATTTTCGCCGGGCAACCATGATGAGGGGAGGTAGGAAGAGAGCGATTATATGATGATTGACCATAATTTAAGCTGGCCAAGGAGGGAAGTAAGGACAGGAAGGGGGTGAAGACTAGTGACAACATGTTAGATCAGTGATTTGTAGGTCCTGGTGGGATGGAAGATTTTTCTACTCAGGGTGCTAGAGGGAGTGAACTGGGAAGATAGGAGGTGTGTGAAATTCAATGTATGGAGAGGTTGCAGGCATTGGTGATGACAAGATCTCAAGTATGACTGTGGAGTCAGAGGTTGAGGTAGGATGGAGAACAAAATCATTGGACGAGACAAGTTCAAAGAAATCAGAGACATCCGTGTGATTATTTCAACAAGTAGTGAACTTTTTTTTTCAAGTGTTATTACTTGGAGCTTAAAGAGAAGTGGGGTCAGGGGAAAAAAAATGGAAAGATCAAAGCAGCCCATCGATTACATTTTCTGTACCTTAATGTCCTAGTGCTAATAACCTAATCAAATATTACAGCTCCATATTGTAAGCATTCTCATAGGTAGTCTTTCATAGCTGGTCTTTCTTCTTCTTTATGTTTCATATTAACATTGATTTTCTTAATGCAGTAAGTGGTATTACTTCAGAGATGAATACGTTCTTGGATGACCCAGAATTTGCTGATATTATATTAAGAGCAGAGCAAGCAATAGAATGTGGAGTTTTTCCAGAAAGAATCTTTCAAGGTTCAAGTGGAAGTTACTTTGTGAAGGATCCTAAGAGGGTGAGAATTTCACAGACCTACTATATATAACAGAAATTTTGGAAAACACTAATTTAAATGTGAAGTCATTGTGAGTTACTGAAGATATGTTCCTAATCTGATTGCACCTTCTTTTCAGAAATAAAGGTCAGTTTGTTTTTTAACTAAAGCGCTCTACTGTTTAGAAATAGAACTATTTAAATCATAATTTGCTGCTCTATTTTATATTTGGTTTAAAGTATTTATTGTATACTCACATTCAACTCTAGGTTTGTTAGGCTTACATCCTTAAATCCTTACTTTACAGTAGATTATAACCATATTAGCCAAGCAGAGTAGAAGTTTAAGCTTTCAAAACCTTTTTAATGTTGTTTCCAAAGTACTTGATCTTTTTCAAAGGTAAATCTTGCCCTAGGAAATTTTTTCCTGGCACTGTGCCAGAGGAGGGCAGTCTGAAATTTGAAGGCATTGGAATGTGACCAAGTGAAATGAGCTAGTCTAATTCTAGAGCAGAAAAGAAGTTAATATGGGACTGTGTTCCACTTAGTCTAGAATTTTTCAGTAATCTGTGTTATCGTCTTCAAAAGGTATATCTGCAGGCATATGTATATACGTGTTTATGTGTACTGCAAATATATTCTCATATATATATATTAAACCTCATTGGGGCACAGTTATGGATACTACCAAGACATAACCTAACACTTCACGGGATTTGTTTACTGGGTTTGAAGGCTTGGGACCATAGTCTCATGGGACATCTCAGTCAATTGGCATAACATAGTTCATAAAGATAATGCTCTGCACCCTAGTATGGTGAGTAGCACCTGGGGTCTTAAAAGCTTGTGAGCGACCATCTAAGATACAGCTGTTGATCTCTTCCCATCTGGAGCAAAGGAGCACGAAGGAAACCAAAGAGTCAAGGAAGAAATTAGTCTACAGAACCGCACACAAGAACCGCAGCCTCTTCTAGCCTGAGAGCAGAAGAACTAGATGGTGCCCAGCTATCACTACTGACCATTCTAACCAGGACACAATAGAAGGTCCTGGTTAGAATGGGAGAAAAAATATAGAACAAAACTCAGATTCCTAAAAAAGACCAGACTTACTAGACCAATAGAGACTAGAGGAACCCCTGAGACTATCGCCCTAACATACCCTTTGCACTTGGAACTAAAACCACTCCTGGAAGTCACCTTTCATCCAAATTGGCTTATAAAATAAACAATAAAAAAAACAAACACATTGCTGTCGAGTTGTTATCACCTGTGAATACTGTGCTCCCTTGAACTAATCAACTATATGTGACCAAACAGTCAACATTTACACTAAAAGATGAGAAGCTAAGGAGGGGCATGGAAGCTAGATTAATGGATACAGAACAGAAAGAAGGCAAATAGTAATAATGTTGACACATTGTGAAAAATGTAACCAGTATCATGGAACAAGTTGTATAAAAAGTGTTAAATGGGAAAAACAAAACAAAAAAGCTTTCTGAACGATGCATAACCAGCAGTCCTTTGTTCAGAGGTCTGAATGATTATTCAACTTTGTTTGCAAAAGTTGAAGTTCTGTTTTTAAATGATTTTTAAAACATGCCTTTTTTGAGCTTTAAATATGTATGTAGGTAAGGTCAGTCTCTCAATAGTTTTTCCAAGTTTGAGTTCTTAATTTGTTCTTATTTTTTACTAGTGACCTAGACTTTATTGTAGTATAGAGCAATTATGACACTTAAACTTATAAGATTTTTATTTCTGGTCTAAAGATCAATCATTACCTTTGTATTTTATAGACCATTTTTTTTTTGTTATTGGATTTATTAGTTTATTTAACAAATACTGGAATACCTACTCTGTTAGGTACAGCCCTCAGTATATTCTAGTGGGAAAAGTAGACAATAAAATAAGCCTATAATCTGGATTATTAATAGATATGGAACAGTAACACTATCTGGCCTAGAGCAGTAGTTGCTAACCATTCTAAAGTCAGTGGAACACTTTCTTACTTAGAAGTCCAGTAATATAAAACACAGGAAATCAGAGTTACTCTGGTTGAAATTGAGTAGAGTCTTAGAACCCTGCCCTCACTTCCCCTAGGGCTTCTCAGAGCACAGTTTAAAATACACTGGCCCAAAGGATTATTGATTTTAGATTTTTGAATGAAAATGAATGTAAAAATGTGCTAAGAACTGAACGTTTTAACATTTTGGAATTATGCCCAAATCTGTGGTGGGAAGCAGTAGGAAAAGATTTATCAGAATGCAAACATTTTGTGGATTATTATATATATGTTGAAAATCTAATAAGATTTTTACTTTTTCCCCTACAGAAAAGCATTGGTGTGTTTAAACCCAAATCGGAAGAGCCTTATGGTCAACTAAATCCAAAATGGACCAAATATGTTCATAAGGTCTTCTGCCCTTGCTGCTTTGGTCGAGGCTGCCTGCTTCCTAACCAGGGATACCTTTCTGAAGCTGGTGCCTACCTTGTAGATGAGAAGCTTCATCTGGGCATTGTACCTAAAACAAGGGTAAAAGCAGAATATGTTTTTATTCTTGTACTTTTAATTTACTGCCTGTTTATCTGTGAACATTTTAATAATTCCTAATGACACAGTCTAAAGTTGAGTGGTTTTTTTGGTAAACTAAAAGTCATGGTCCACTAATAAATTGACACAAGAGTATCTAAGGGAATGTCTCTTGTTCATGTGAGGTCAGAAGATGCTAAAGAAAAGAGGGGAAGACCTAGCATTTAGAAAGCAGAATAAGATTAGCGATTCTATTAAAAGTAGAAATAACTAGTATGTCCAAAAGACTATTATTTTCTTTTTGGCCTTTATAAATTTTACTTGAAGACTTCCTTAAAATGTTCATTTTTGATTCTACATTTCAGGACTCTTATTTCTTCCAGTTGCAAATTTTAGGTTGCTTTTATACCTCTCAGAAAAAAAATTTGTGCCAAGTAACGGCTTTGCAAAATCTCCTGGCCTTTCTCTTTTTTGATTCTCTGGGGAATCGATTATAGTGTTGAGTTTTGCTAATTTGCAGCGTTAGAGTGAGTTTTGTGGTGTATATGAAGAGAAATACTATAATACAAATTCTGACCATTTTCCCAAAATGTGTGTTTCTAGGTGGTTTGGCTGGTCAGTGAGACATTTAACTACAGTGCAATTGACCGTGCAAAGTCAAGAGGCAAAAAGTATGCTTTAGAGAAAGTGCCAAAAGTAGGTAGAAAATTTCATCGGATAGGACTTCCTCCTAAGGTAAGTTACTCTGATAGGCTTTATTTGGGGGACAGCTTGTTGATTCAGCATGTATTTCCTGAGCTTCGTGTGTGAGGCGTTGTGCTATAGGCTGTGGCTATAATAGTAAAAAAACAGTTTTTTCATCTTCCAGCTTATACTAAACAAGCAATTTCAATTTAATAATAAAACTGTTAGGATGGTAAATTCAGGTAGCTCAGAGTCTAAAAGCAGGAGGTCTAATAACTCAGTATAGGTCTAGAATCTGACCGAGATTCCAATCTCAGGCTCTCCACTAGTTAGCTCTGAGACCTTGGGTAATTTTCTTACTGTTTGACCCTCAGTTTCTGTAAAATGGTTAAAAACTACTAGTAAAGGTTCAGTAAATGTTTATTTGCTACATATTAGATTTTGTTTTTCTTGTCACTTTTTTTAAATAAACCTGAGGGATGATTAGCAGCTAGCTAAGCAAGGTGGGGGGAGATAAATGCAAAAGGCATTCTAGGCAAGGTGTGCAAATCGAAGGAAAAGCTCTTTAGCCTTTAAAAACTAAAAAACCAAACCCACTGCTGTCGAGTCGATTCCGACTTATAGCGACCCTATAGGACAGAGTAGAGCTGCCCCATAGAGTTTCTAAGAAGCGCCTGGTGGATTCGAACCACCTACCTTTTGGTTAGCAGCTGTAGTGCTTAACCACTACACCACCAGGGTTTCCATCATGAATTTCTACTCAAATTCTTTTATCTAGATACAGTGCATAGCAAGAGCAATACAACAATAAAGTCACAGGTCACATTTTATATAGGGTTTTTTTTTTTTAGTGCTTAATTATAAGCACTTTAGAGAAAACCTTTAGGAAATCATTAAAATGTCATGCCAACAAGAACATAAAGTGTTAGGATAAGAAACAGATTTTCTTGGTAGTGATTTGTTTGTATTTATGAGAGATAGGTTACCCATTACCTATATGTCACATTTAACTTTGCATTTCCTGCTTTAGTGAAAAATTAAGGTTTTTAAAATGTTAAACCTGTTGCTGTAGAGTCAATTCCAACTTATGGCAACCTTGTAGGAAGGAGTGGAACTGCCCCATAGTGTTTCCAAGGAGCAGCTGGTGGATTCGAACTGCCGACCTTTTGGTTAGCAGCCTGAGCTCTTAACCACTGCGCCACCAGGGCTCCTTTTTCATGTTGACAAGTAGTAAATTTTAGCAGTAGAAATGCCTTTTAAAATAGACATATCTTCAAGGAGAGGACTTTTTAAAGATTACTAGGTTGTTGTGTGCCGTCAAGTTGATTCCAACTCATGGTGACTCTGTATAAAACAGAGTAGAACTGCCCAGTAGAGTTTCCAAGGCTGTAAATCTTTACAGAACCAGATTGCTACATCTTTCTCCCATGGAGTGACTGGTGTGTTCAAACTGCCGACCTTTCGGTTAGCAGCTGAGTGCCACCATGGTTCTTAAAGGACCACTAGAGAGATTATGATTGATTGATTCTTTAAAATTTATGACAGTGTCTTTAATCTGCATGGTCAAAGAATCCATTCTTTTTTTTTAAGTAACTTTTTTTCTGTTTTATGTTGTAAACAAAGAACTCTGAAATATTTCTTAAGTAAGGCATAATTGTACGGTTATTAAATAACCAAAATAGGTTTAAAATTGGGCCTTTGAAATTTAATTAATTTTAATGAAAATTTTTAGAAAACAGCATTCTTACTAAGAGTGTCATCTTGAGGGCATAAGTTTATTTTCTTTTAACATTATTCTAAAATAGCTGCTATGCTCTTTGAAAGTCTAGGGTTGAACATTTTTTATTTGCTATGTGTTCTTTTTGTGATTTAAAATTAGTGTATAAAAATAGTTTTCTTGATAAATGTGGCTTACCTAAATTAGTGTTAACTCTTCTATTTTCTTACTGTGTTTATATAATATAATGTATTTATATGATACTACTGCTAAGAAATTAAAAAGTTAATCCCCTTGTTCTTGTACTTTCTTATCTAACTATAGTTCTTAAAATTATAGATTGGTTCCTTCCAGTTATTTGTTGAAGGTTACAAGGAGGCTGAATATTGGCTTAGGAAATTTGAAGCTGACCCTTTGCCTGAAAATGTTAGAAAGCAATTTCAGTCACAGTTTGAAAGATTAGTTGTTTTGGATTACATCATCAGAAATACAGGTATTGAAGTTCTCTTGTTTGTTCCCTCAAATCTCGTTAGCTTTCAAACTGTATTCAACACTTGCTATTCAAATAGAAAGATGTAACATTTTGATACAGAAGTCTTGAGGCCACCCCCATCCTGCCTTAGAAATAAGAGATGTAGTACTGACCCACCTGAGCAGAATTAGCCCTGTGCAGACTCCTGCCAGGTGACAGAGATCAGCTCACATCTCCTGCAGGGAATTTCATAGCAGCAAGACAAAGCCAGTTATTAGAATATGAATAATTAAAACTTGATTGTATAAAGTATTTTAGATGCTTATTTCTACATTATGTAACTGCAAGTGTACTCTATAAATACATGAAACTCTTATTTTTTTCTGCTGCTGGAAAGGAGCACTGATGTAGATATCTAAAACAGTGGTCCCAAAATGTGGTTCTCTGGCCAGGGAAGGTCAGCATTCAGGGAACTTGTTTTAAACATGCATCTATCTTCTTGGACCCCACCCCAGACTTACTGAAGCAGCAACTTCATATGTGGGGCTCAGCAATGTGTGTTTTAATGAGCTCTCCAGTAATTCTGATACACCCTAAAGTTTGAGAACTTCAGATTGAAAAATATGTTCTTATTTATATTCATTTCTGAAAAAATGTTATGCAATTAGTTTTTAGATTTACCTTAATTAATGTAGCCTTAGGTTAATATTAAAATTAATGTAAAATTAATGTGCAGTTCTAGAGTGCTCCTGTACTGATTTTAGGTGAGCCTACCCAGAAATTTGCCTGGCAAATGGAGGTAGATACTTTTTCTTCCTAAGGTGAAGAGAAGTTATCCTTGATTTTAATAACCTTGATTAATAACTCTTGACAATAATTGTACCTACCTCACAGGGTGGGTGGTTATGAAGATTCGGTGGATTAATATACATAAGGACTGATAACCTCTGACAGAGTAAACACTCAAAATTTTTGTATATATTAAACTGAGACCTTTAATATGATAAACACATGCCACAGATAACCAATCTCAATTAATCTGAAGGTTTCAATAATCAAGAGGTAACTAGATTTTTCCCCTTCTATTAATCATGTCTGTAAAAAATGAAGTAACAGCTTTTTTATTTGTTTGTTTTAAAAGACAGAGGAAATGATAATTGGTTAATCAAATATGAAAAGCAGAAGGAAGTTGACAGTAAGGTAAGGAAACTAAAAGAAATATGTACATATACACACACATATAGACATATACACAAAATCAATTTCTGTAACATCCACTTTAAAATAGGCTTTAAAGTTGTTATTGTTCACCATTTTCTCCTTCTTTCACTTAGATCCTTGGTTTTACTCATCTGTTTTACTTTCCATCCCTTGTTTACATTCCTTTTTTTTTCTATTTTTTATTATCTCTGTAAAGTTTTATTTTTTATTTGTATTAGAATAAAAGAATGATACCAGCTTAGTACTTTTTTAGGGCTCGGGAAATTTGTTATAGAACCATTACATTTATTTTGCTTTCATGTAATAACAGCTTCTGATATTTTTGGTCAACATGTTTATATTTCACGGGTTCACTTTTCTCTGAGTCTTAGGAATTCAGTGTTACATAACACCATGTAAAATGGAAAGTGTGTGCTTTATCTGTAGTTATGGCCATTGAACTTAAAAAAAAAATTACTTCTACATCATATAAGAAGCTGGCTTTTACTTATATAATTTAACTGCGCACACACACTTCACACTATCAGAATTAAAGATTTTAGGTTCATTTATGTCAACTCTGAGTACTTAAGTTCAAATTTTAGTTATTTACATAAGTATTTTCAGAATAGATTTACAAGTTTAAAATAGGCTATACAATTGAGAAAATTTTAACTGATTTTTAAAAAATAATTTCTCCAGTATTTCTAATCTGTATATTCTCAAGTTATCACTTAAAGCTATTGCATCACTTTAAAAAGTTTGCACTTTTAAGTATTTATCAAGGAAATTTAAAAATATGCATTTAAAAATAGTACTTAGCAATAAAAAAGAACAGATCTGATACAATCAGTAACATGGATGAATCTCAGAGTCATGTTAACTGAAAGAAGCTACACATAAAGGGAACATACCATATGATTGCACTTACATAAAAATGCAGGGAGTGCAAGCTCATCTCTAGAGGCAGAAAACAGATCAGTGGCTGCGTGGTGATGGGGTAGAGGGAGGGGTGGACTGCAGAGGGACACAAGAAAACTTTTGCGTGGTGGTTTCACAGGTGTTTACATCATCTGTCAAGGCTCATCTGATTGTACACCTTAATATATGTAAAGTTTATTGTATGTAAATTATACCTCACTAAAGTTTTAAAAAGTGACAGAAATAAAAATAAATGGTGGTTATAGCAGAATACGTTAAAATGCACACACAAATATACATCTATGTAATGGCTCCTAAATTTTATTTTATTGGTTTATTTTGAGCAATCAGATTTAACTGAGACCTTTTTTTTTTGCTATTAGTATTTTGTGCATTTCATTGAGGTGAGATATTTGACATAAACTAAAAGAAACAAAGAAACTTGCCATGTATCACATGGGCCTTCACTGTAGTATGTTTAATTTAAAAGCTACCTTTTTAACCTTTTGTTATTTTATGTAGGCCACTTAATAATGGCAACCATCTGTCTTTAAATACTGTAATAGATAATACTCTTTAATATGAAAACCCTCTGCTCCTGAGGTCTTTGTTTCTGCAACAGAAGAGTATAGAAGGAATGACCTGTATTCTGTAGCCAAGAATATTTTGACGTTCTGTCTACTGGACTTTTATTACATTTAGCTATGGTCTTTGGGGAATTTTATTTATAAATATTTTATATTTAACTTAATTATTTATATGGAACCCTAAGAAGGGCTGGAAACCTGGTGGCATAGTGGTTAAGAGTTTGTCTGCTAAATAAAAGGTCGGCAGTTTGAATCCACCAGCTGCTCCTTGAAAACCCTAGGGGGCAGTTCTTCTCTGTCCTGTAGGGTTGCTATGAGTCAGAATCAACTTGATGGCAGTGGGTTTGGTTTCTTTTAAGAAGGGCTAGATTTTAATAAGATAATTTTGTAAGTTGTCTTAAAAATATCAATATTTTGCAAATACCATACATTTAAACAATGATTCTAGCTATAAATCACTCTTTTAAGTCTTAATATTTCTAAGTTCTATTCCCCGAAGATGAAAAAAGGTAAATGTATAAGTACAAAATTTTTAAAATAGTGATTATGAAATTCTTAGTGGTTTTAAGACAATCTCTTTCCTTCCAGAGTGAATTCATACTCTCTATGGCAGCTTATTTTTTACTTTTATAGGCTTTGAGTAAATATGTCAATAATTATTTTAAATATTTTATCCTTTGGAAATACTCAGATATGTGTTTTAACCAACTGACCATTTTTCTCCACTTTAGGAAACAAAATGGACTGATGATAAAGAATCTCTTATTAAAATAGCTGCAATTGACAATGGTCTAGCATTTCCTTTTAAACATCCTGATGAGTGGAGAGCATGTGAGTATTTTAGAAGTTTCTAGAGATTTTTTTAATTACCTCTTTCTAGAATGGAAAAGGAACAAAATTTATGGATATCAAAATAGCAGAGGAAGAACTGGGTAAAGGAAATATAATCATTCATTAAGGCACTGTTCTAGGCAATAGGGATGCAAAGATGCGTGCTGCATGGGCCTTAGCATGTACTACTTGCTTATCTTTGGATGACCATGTCTAATTTTGATTTTTAGGCTTATGCAAGCTTTGTACAATGAGTTTAGTAGCTTTCTAATTTTTCAAATATATATAACATACGACAGGAGAGTAGCTCTGGTGTTAGTCATTCCATCATGGTTGTATAAGAAAGTTAATACAGAGGCGGAGCAGTCAGACGCTTCCAGTGGACCCTCTTACAACAAAGACCCAAAAAAACAAGTGAATCAATTATATATGACAATCTAGGAGCCCTGAACATCTAAGGCAAAGTTGAGGAACCGGACTGAGTGGCAGGGGGAGGGAGAGATGGTTCGGAAGCAGCAAAGAGTTGCCAGGCCTGACCCGGCAAGAGCCTGAGCCCTTCAGGCCTGATTAGCTCATAGGTGAGCGGTGAGGCAGGCAAGCAGCGGTGCTCAGGAGGTGTATTCCACATCGGGAGCGACCCAGCCACTCAGAACCAGTGAGAAGCAGCCCTAGATGGGCGAAAGATAAGTACTTGCATACGGCCTACTGTACAGATCAAAAAAACCCCCCTTAGGGAAAAACCTCTCTCCCATTTACCTCCCCGCTCACTACTCTGCACTGGGTTCCAGACCAGCTACAGCAATCGCTGAGTACCCTGGGCCAGGAGTAGGATCCGTCATACGCCCTGAGCAATTCTCCCAGCCTTGGAGAGTGAACAAATTAACAAACAGGAAAAAATAAACTGCTGGCTCCCCTAAGCCAGGAACCCAGGGTAGGCACAGGTCCTTTGCCTAGGCACAGGCATAAGGGATTCACGGACTTTGAGTGCCTTTCTCCCTGCAGAGACTTGTGTGGGCCCGTTTCAACAGTGTAGGCCCTCACTACCGCAGTACAACAGGGTATATACCTGAAGTCTAACTTGAACTGTTTCAGCTGTGAAGTGGCAGATTTGTGACATTTGACACTGCTCTGCCCATTAAGCAGGGTCTTCACCTATTCACATCAGGGGCCTGAGGACTGGTGGCTCCAGCCAGGCCACCTGCGATAGGGGTCCAAAAAAAGATGCCCCCCAATCCTTACAGCCGACAGCATTGGGTACTCATAGTCCGACTGTAAAACCCACCCACCTACGCGTTCTAGGGAACAGGGACATACTTTCTTCCTGGATACTTGGAGGTGGCTGTCAGCCCCCAGCCTTGCTCAGAGTATGTCCTCCTGCTACAGCCCGGTGCCTGTGCCTATGCCAGTCACCCATGCCTGTCTAGGACTATAGGTGAGAGCCTACACCACACACTCGGTGGCTCTCTACCTGGGCACCTGAGCTGAATCCATACAGGAGGAGTGGGTGGACTCCTGAGCTCACATACCTAGTAACAGATCTTACCACCAGGTGACAGGACATTAGAGCTTCAAAGCTTCCAATAATCAAAAGAGCTCATACGAGCAGCGTATTTGGGCATATCAAAACAAAACAAAAAGCTAGGACACAGTAAACAAACATAAAATAAATATAATAACTTATTGATGGCTTGGAGACAACAGTCAATATCAAATCACATAAAGAGGCAGACCATGATGGCTTCAGCAAGCTCCCAAAATAAAGAATCTAGAAATTTTCTAGAGGAAGAAAATTTCTTGGAATTACCGGAGGCAGAATACAAAACATTAATATACAGAACTCTTCAAGAAATTACGAAGGAAATTAAGCAAAATGCAGAACATGCAATAGAGGAAATTAAAAAGATGAGAGAAGAGCCTAATGACAAATTTAACAGGTTGCAAGAATCCGTAGAGACAGCAATCAGAAATCCAGAAGATTAACAATAAAATTTCAGAATTAGACAACTCAGTAGAAAGTCATAGGAGCAGAATTGAGGCAAGGGAAGTTAGAATTAGTGAGATTGAAGATAAAGCACTTGACAACAACTTATTTGAGGAAAAATCAGGTACAAGGATTAAAAACAATGAAGAAACCCTGAGAATTATGTGGGATTCTATCGAGGAATAACCTACGAGTGACTGCGTACCAGAACGGGGGGGATAATAGAAAGTACAGAGAGAATTGTTGAAGATTTGTTGGCAGTAAACTTCCAGGATATCATGAAAGATGATAAGATATCTATCCAAGAAGCTCATCGAACCCCACATTAGGTAGATCCCGAAAGAAAGTCACCAAGATATATTATAATCAAACTTGCCAAAACCAAAAATAAAGAAGAGAATTTTAAGAGCGGCTAGGGATAAACGAAAAGTCATCTACAAAGGAGAGTCAATGAGAGTAAGCTCGGACTACTCAGCAGAAACCATGCAGGCAAGAAGGCAATGAGATGACATATATGAAGCCCTGAAGGAAAAAAATTGCCAGCTAAGAATTATGTATCTAGCAAAACTGTCTCTCAAATATGATGGTGAAATTAGGACATTTCCAGATAAACTGAAGTTTAGGGAATTTGCAAAAAAAAACCCAAAATTACAACGAATACTAAAGGAAGTCCTCCAGTGAGAAAATCAGTAACATCAGATAACAACCCAAGAGCAGAACACAGGACAGAGCAACCAGATATCAACCCAGATAGAGAAGTCACAAAAATAAATCAAAGCTAAAGCACTGAAAATAGGGAAACAGATGTCAATATGTAAAAGATAACAACATTAAAACAAAAAAGAGGAACTTAAAAAATGTAGACTTAGACTTTGTATTTGGAGAGGGAGTCAAGGCGATATAAAAAAATAAAAGACTGGTATAAACTTAGAAAAATAGGGGTAAATATTAAGGTAGCCACAAAGGAAACTAACAATCCTACAAGTCAAAATAAAAAACTAGAAAAATATAGACTCAGCAAACACAAAATTGACAACAATGGAAAAGATGAAAAGAAATACATAAAGAAAAACGACGCA